TTTTATTTAATATATGTCTATTATTTTTTAAATTTCTATTGCTTTATAAATGATACCATTCAAAATTTCCACTTCCTCACCTCCTCTCATATCCCTCCCGCTCCCCTACTCACCCTCTGCTCTCCCCCTCCAGTCCTAAGAGAGGGCAGGGTGCCCTGCCCTGTGGGAAGTCCAAGGCCCTTCCCCCTCCATCCAGGCCTAGGAAGGTGTGCATTCAAACAGACTAGGATACCAAAAAGCCAGTACATGCAGGAAAGACAAATCCCAGTGCCATTATCATTGGCTTCTCAGTCAGCCCTCATTGTCAGCCACATTCAGAGAGTCCAGTTTGATCCCATGCTTGTTCAGTCCCAGTTCAGCTTGCTTTGGTGAGCTCCCATTAGATAAGGCACACTGTCTCTGTGGGTAGACCAATCCCTTACTGTCCTGAGTTCCTTGCTCATATTCTCCCTCCTTCTGCTCTTCAACTGGACCTTGGGAGCTCAGTCTAGTGCTCCATTGTGGGTTTCTGTCTCAATCTCCATCTGTCGCCGGACGAAGGTTCTATGGTTATATTCAAGATAGTCATAATATGACTATGGGACAAGGCCACTTCAGGCACCCTCTCTTCTAATCCCCAAGGACCTAGCTGGGGACATCCACATGGACACCTGGGAACCCCTCTAGAGCTAAGCCTCTTTCCAAACCTAAAATGGCTCCCTTAATTAATATCCCTTAATATTTCATCTATATATAATAATATAAATGATGTACTTTCTTCCTTGATATTAGATCAACATTCTGCTCCTTAGGGAAGATATGGTGATGTGATAAATCTGAGTACCATTGTATATAATCTCATTATAAGATTGCAAGTAATGTTGCAGATGAATTGAGTCAGATGACCTTAAGCTGAAGCTAGTGATTCCCTGTACCTTCCCATATTGCTCTGAGAACATGGGGAGGTAGAGTTAGATTGACATGAAGACTGATGTGCATATAGGGCTCTGTAGCTGCTGACCAATGATAACCTAAGATTGTCCACAAACAATAGAGACAGGGAGGGAGGGAAGAGGCCATGGGTGCTTAGCTTAAGGAGTCCATTATTTTACCTTCTTTCTGTAGTTTATTAAGATTTCTCATTATTTTTTATTATTATATTTTATTAATTTGAAAAATACCAATCCAAATAACACTTCCTCCCCTCCACCCACTTCCTTCCCTTTCCCTACATACAACTTTCTCCCCACCCCTGTTCAATATTAAGAGAGGGCAAGGCACCTTGCCCTGTGGAAAGTCCAAGGCCCTCCCCAATACATCCAGGTTTAGCAAGATATACATGAAAACAGAATAATAAAAGCCAGTACATGCAGTGGATACAAATCCCAGTGTCATTATCATTGACACCTCAGTCTGCCCCAACTGTCAACGACATTCACAGGGACTAGTTTGACCCCATGCTCATTCACTCCCAGTCCAGTTGGAGTTGGTGAGCTCACATTAGCTCAGGCAAATTGTCTCCGTGGATGAACCCCTTATGGTCTTGACTTCCTTGCTCATATTCTCCCTCCTTCCACTCTTCAACTGGACCTTAGGAGCTCAGTCCAGTGCTCCTATGTGGGTCACTGCCTCAGTTTCCATCTGTTGTTGAATGAAGGTTCTATGGTGATATTTAAGATAAATCATCTGTCTGACTACAGGGCAAGGCCAGTTCATGCACCCTCACCTCTATTGCTTAGGGTCTTAGCTTAGGTCTTCCTTGTACATTCCTGGGAATTTTTCTAGTGCCAGGCTTCTTGCTAATCCCAAAATGGCTCCCTCAATCAAGATATCTTTTTCCATGCTCTCATATCTGTCCTTCCTCCCTCTCAACTATCTCATTCTCTCAAGCTCTCCCCAACTCTCTCCTTCTCTCATCCTCTTCCCCTTCTCCCCTTCCTTCTATCCCACACACACATGCTACCAAATTTTGTCAGGCAATCTTGTCTGCTTCCAATTTCCAGATGGATCTATATATGCTTTTATTTGGGTTCACCTTATTATTTGGCTTCTCTAGGATCATGAACTATAGGCTCAATGTCCTTTGTTTTAGGCTAGTATCCACTAATGAGTAAGTATATATTATATTCATATTTTTTAGGTCTGAGTTATCTCACTTAAGATGGTGTTTGTTAGTTCCATCCTTTTGCATGCAAAAATCAAGATGTCATTGTTTTTTTACTGCTGAGTAGTACTCGGATGTGTGGATGCACCACACTTCTTTATTCATTCTTCTTTTGAAAGACATCTAGGTTGTTTCCAGGTTCTGGCTATTACAAATAATGCTGCTACGAACATAGTTGAACAAATATTTTTGTAGCATGATTGAGCATCTTTTGGGAATATTCCCAAGAGTAGTACTGCTGGATCCTGACATAGATTGACTCCCAATTTTCTGAGAAACCACCATACTGATTTGCAAAGTGGTTGCAAAAGTTTGCATTCCCACCAACAATGAATGAGTGTTCCCCCTAATCCAGTTTTTCTCCAGCATAAGCTATCATTGATGTTTTAGATCTTAGTCATTAGTAAATCCCTCAAAGATACCCAACAAAACCAGCAAAAAAAAAAAAAACAATCAAACTGGTGAAAGAAACAGTTCAAGACTTGAAGACTGAAATGAAGGTAATAAAGAAAACAGAAACTGAGGGAATTCTGGATGTGGAAATTCTGGGTAAATGAACAGGAACTATAGAGAAAAGTATAACCATCTGAATACAAGAGATGTAAGAATTTCAGGTGCTGAAGATTCTATAGAGGAAATGAACTCATTGGTCAAAGAAAACACTAAATCCAACAAATCTTAACACAAAACATTCAGGAAATCTGGGACACATTGAAAAGATCAAGCCTAAGAATAATAGGGGTAGGTTCTTTCCAGCTTGGTCCCGGCAGAATGGCTCCAGCAAAGAAGGGTGGTGAGAAGAAGAAGGGCTCTTTTGCCATCAATGAGGTGGTGATCCGAGAATACACCATCAGCATTCACAAGCGCATCCATGGCATGGGCTTTAAGAAGCATGCCCCTAGGGCACTCAAACAAATCTGGAAATTTGCCATGAAGGAGATGGAAACTCCTGATGTGCAGATTGATACCAGGCTCAATAAAGCTGTCTGGGCGAAAGGAAGAAGAAATGTTCCATACCGTATCCGGGTACATTTGTCCAGAAAACATAATGAGGATGAGGACTCACCAAATAAACTCTACACATTGGTAACTTACGTGCTTGTTAACACATTCAAAAATCTCTGAACAGTCAATGTGGATGAGAAGTAACCTACTGAATCTCAAATAAAGTTTGAGAACTGCCTTAAAAAAAGAATAGAGGTAGAGGAAGGAGAAGAAATCAAGCTCAAGGACACAGAAAATATATTCAACAAAATTATAGAAGAAAACTTAGCCAATCCAAAGAAGGATATTCCTATGAAGGTACCAGAACCTTATAGAACACCAAATAGACGAGATAACAAACATCCCATTGCCATATAATAATCAAAACACAAAACATACAGAATAAAGAAAGAATATTAAGAGCTGCAAAGGAAAATGGTCAAGTAATATATAAAGATAAACCTATTAGAATTACACCTGATTTCTCAATGGAAACTATAAAACACAGAAGGTCTTGGATAGATGTGCTGTAGACACTAAGAGACCAGACTACTATACACAGCAAAGTTTTCTTTCACCATCAATGGAGAAAACAAGATATTCCATGACAAAAACAGATTTAAGCAATACATATACACAAACCCAGCCTTACAGTAAATAGTAGAAGGAAAGCCTCAACTCAAAAAAAGATAACGATTCCCACAAACACAGACATATGATAACCCTCCACTAACTTAATCCAATGAATGGAAACACACAAACCATACCACCAAAAAATAACTGGAGTTAACAATCAATGGTCATTAATATAGCTTAATATCAATGGACTCAATTCACCTAAAAAAGACACAAGGTAAGAGAATGGATATGAAAACAGCATCCAGCTTTCTGCTGTTTACAAGAAATATACCTCAACATCAAAAACAGACACTATCTCAGAGTAAAGGGTTGGGAAAAGGAAGGTTTTCCAATCAAACAGACCTAAGAAACAAGCGTTTGTGGCTATTCTAATATCTACCAAAATTGATTTCAAACTAAAATCAGTGAGACAAGATGTAAAAGGACATTTTATAATCATAACAGAAAAAAATCATCCAGATGCAGTCTCAATCCTGAACATCTATGCTCCTAAAACAAGAGCACCCACATATGTAAAAAAAATTACTAAAACTTAAATCGCACATCAAACCTCACACACTAATAGTAGAAGATTTCAACACTTCTCTATCACCAATGGACAGGTCAACCAGACAGAAATTAACAGAGAAATAAGAGAACTAACAAATGTAATGAATCAAATGAACTTAAGAGACATCTATAGAACATTCCACCCAGACAGAAAAGGATATACCTTCTTCTCATAATCTCATGGAACTTTTTCTAAAATTGCTACATACTCAGTAACAAAGAAAACATCCACAGAATTAAAAATAAAATGGAAGTAACCACCAGTGTCTTATTGGATCACCATGGAGTAAACTTAGAATTTAACAACAATTCCACCCCCAAAAGGCCTACAAACTCATGGAAACTCAACAGTCAACTACTGAACCTTCCCTGGGTCAAGGAAAAATAAAGAAAGAGATTAAAATCTTCTAGAATTAAAATAAAATGAAGGCACAACATATCTAAAACTTTGGGACACTATGAGAGCAGTGCTAGGAGGAAAGTTCATAGCACTAAGTGCCCACATAAAGAAAATGGAGAAAGCTCACATTAGCGACTTAACAGCACACCTGAAAGCTCTAGAAAAAAAAAAGCAGACTCACCCAGGAGGAGTAGAAGACTGGAAATAATCAAACTGAGGGCTGAAATCAACAAAATAGAAACACAGAAAACAATACAAACACTCAACAAAACAAAGAGCTGGTTCTTTAATAAAGTCAATGACAAACCCTTATCCAAACTAATCAAAAGGTGGAGAGAAAACATAAAAATTAACAAAATCAGAAATGAAAAGGGGGACATAACAACAGACACTAAGGAAATTCAGAGAAGCATTAGGAGTTACTACAAAAGCCTGTACTTCAAAAAATTGGGAAATGTAAAAAAAAAAAAAAAAAAAAAAACAGCCATTTTCTTTTAGATAGATTCCATATACCCAAATTGAATCAAGACCAGGTGAACAATTTAAATGCATCAGTTTTGCAAATCTGGCCTCCAGAAATCAGTATGTGATAACACAAGTCACTTGTATTAACCTTCTTTTTATAGGTTGGTATGTTGTTGCTTCCTTTTCCAGGAACTAACAAGCTAGGCAATAATTTGTAAAGTATTTTTGAATTTGTGCACATTTCTTTCTTCTTCCATCACATTTTATTCCTAAACATATTGACACATTGGCTCATATTTCTTGCTTTATGACTGCAAATAAACTCTAAGGTTAAACAATTTTCAGTCTTAAATCATAAATGTATGTCTCCTCTTTCAATATTTTAGTACTGTAAACAAGGACACAGTAATGCAGCTTCTAGTAGATATGTTTTATTCAATATTCTGTAATCCTTACCTAAGTACAAATACAGTCTCACTGTGCTTCTTCCAATTTTTTTCTTTATAATTTTGTTTTGTATTGCCATGTTATTTTTCAATTTTTTTATTTATAATGCATCAAGAGATTCATGCAGTATAATATTAATCATTCTAGATACTAGTATTCATCAGTGTGTCTCTATGGGTCAATCTACTGAGGAACCAAGCAGACAGATTATTCTGGAATCGAGCATTCTGAGAAGAGGCTCATGGAGTAAATTTCTCTGTCCTCAGAATAAGTAGGAAAAGTCCCTGAATAAAGACATCACCATAAATTAAGGTCTATAACTTTGGTTCTCAAATTTTCTAATGTGCTGACTCCTTAGTACAGTGTCTAATTTGGTGGTGACCCAAACCATAAAATTTTCATTGCGATTTCATAACTATAATTTTTCTACTGTTATTTATCATAATATAATATTCAAACAATAGCAAATCTGATATATGACATCTGTCTTGTGGGGATCATAAGCTATAGGGTAAGGACACTGGTCTACCAAGTGCTCTTACTGGGGAGAAGAAAACTAAAGACAAGATGTAAAAGTCAGCCTCAGAGGAGGTAACTCTGTCCTTGATCAGAAATACTTAGTAGTCAAAGCCTTGGGAAAGTATGGTGCTCACAGTTATGACAGAACTAAACCTGCTCAGTGGGGTTTCATAGGATCCACTGAAGGATCTGGGAGACTCAAAGCTGAGAATACGAACATCTATCTCTCTATGACTCTTCATGATTCAATAGGCCCTGCAGCTGAGGCTACTGAGATCTCTTTGGCAGACTCAGGAAGGAAGTGACACAAACACCTAAGAAGGAATTTCTTGACCAAGATAAATTTGCATATTTGTAGGAAGGGCCCTGTCAGATGTCTGAGAAATGGTGAAGTATAAGAGAGATCCAAACATGTGTGTCTCAACAGAGCTCAGTGGTGTCTGCACCATGGCCTGGATTCTTCTCCTCTGCTTCCTCTTTGATTGTACAGGTCAGGAGAATCATTTGCACTTTGATGCCAGTTGAGGGAACCCAATGACAAGGTAATTCTCTCCTCTTCTCTCACTCCAGGTGGTAATGTGTTTCTCTATTCCAGGGTCTTTCTCCCAACCTGTGCTGACTCAGTCACCCACAGCCTCTGCATCTTTGGGTTCCTCAGTCAAACTCACCTGCACCTTGAATAGTGAGTATAGCATCTACACCATTGGATGGTACCAGCAACATCCAGGCAAACCTCCTAAGTATCTGATGTATCTCTATGATAACGGAAACCACAGCAAGGGAGATGGGATCCCCGATCGCTTCTCTGGATCCAGCTCTGGGGCTCATCGCTACTTAAGCATCTCCAACATTCAGACTGAAGATGAAGCTGACTATATCTGTGGTGTAGATTATCTCACTAGTGGAGTATTTGGGTGAGCACAGTGAACCAGATAAATGAGGAAGCAGGACAGGAACTATTTTCCTCTCCTCCTAGCAAGGCTAGCCTATGATTTTGAAAAGGATCATCTGAAGTTCTTACCTGTCATATTCCTAGGATATTTTCCTGTTATTACTTAAGGTGATAGATCATAGTTCTAGCTTCTGAGCTTCTTGTGAAAGAGAGGAAAGGCAGGTTTTGTTTAGAGAGAACTGCTCTGTAAAATTAATGACTATGAAAATCAAATCTCATGTGGACAGCGATGAGGAGGTGAGAACTTTTTGGAAGTTAGAGAATTGGGCTTAATGCTCTTGTTATTTCCCAATGTTCATAGTAATGTCTATTTGTTCAAAGATCACTATCCTCTCGCATGCTCTAAGTACTTTAACTTTAGTAATATGGTTTAATAACATTTATGAGGCAGTGTGGTAGGTCCTCCTAGACTCATGACAATATAATAAAAACAGCCATGATGGCTGAGCATTGTCCTTAAATATATACAAACTTTTCCATATCGCTCTCAACACTTTACTCGGTAAGCCTTCCCAGATATTTTGAAGGAAGGATAAAGTTACAAACATATGGTTTAATCTCTGCCAAAATACTTACATATGACTTTTCTATATTAGTATTAAGGCCTTCATTTGTCCACACTGAGTCCATCTTTAAAATCTCACATTGGACTTAAAATAACCAATGAAATAAAAAGACAACGTGCATAGAAAACAAAAGCAAAACAACAAACAACAAAATCCCACAAAGTTATTATAAAGGGATCATATTTCAAGCGTATCAGGGCATCATTCTTTCAGTGAAAAGGCCAGAATTATACTTTTCTGGAGAAACCTCTGAAACCCAACTTGTTGAGCAGATGAAGTCAGGTGCATTCAGGGTGGTATGATTGTAGACCTTGTTGAGCAGAATCCTATGTCAGGCCCTATGCTAAGAGGGTCTCTTAGATCACAAACCCAAAACAGCCAATCCTGCTTGAAGACAGGAGATTATTATGTGCTTTCCCACCTTTCTAAGCCCTTACTTAGAATTGCGTAACTTTTTATCTTGTTTTGGTTATTTCTTTACATGGTGCCCAGAGCCCCAAGCCTGCCTTTTTCTACTACTTTGTGTTTCTCCACTATTCCCCTAGAGCTTACCTCCCTATCAAGTGATTTACTGTCCACTGCATTAGTTACTTTTCTATTACTT